TGGGTATCATGCAAGCACAGAAATCACCCAGCAATACAGAATCTATCAGCAGACTTTTGTTTTCTCCTCCATGGTATGAAACAATTAGGAATTAGGGAAAAGGTAGTGAGAGCTTGGACTTCCAATTTTCGCGGAACTGTTGAGAGTGCATGAGAACAAGGACGTCCTCGGGGGGTGAGAATCGTTGAATTCGTAGCAGTCATAAATTCATGAAAGGTCGGTGTTGGAGGTACACCAATGTTGAAGTTGTATGTGTAAGAATTTTGCGAAGCAATGGTATTAGCCAACGCTCAAGGCTCGGCGGCAGACGTAGCTCGGTTTGTCGTTTCAAAAGTCAATGGCTCGGCAGAGAAGTCATCGGGTGTAAGGCGTGATCGTCCCCTGGTTGAAGAAGAATGTGTGGAGTCGCTATCCAAGCGCAGAGATTCCATGCGATCCAGTTCTTCATACTCCGGAAGGTGCAGGGGAGATCCATGGTAGTCCTCCATGATGCTGCTTCCATCCAGCATGGTGTAACCGGGGGGGCTAGCAGGAACATCCTCATAGACCGGTGGCATCTCCTCGTCCCAACTGATACCCAGCCCGCTGCGTTCCGTAACGTGCAAGTGAAACTGCATGCGCAGAACACGCGCTGCTCCAGTCGGGGTGATGAGTCTCGTGTTGCGGTTGGGGCAGAACTCTTCGGCGACGATCAGTTCAATGACAAGGTTATGACGAGCTTCCAGGCCACCCGAAGCTTCGAGATCGCACACTGGGTTGCAAGATGGGTTGATGCTGGCTTCGAACTGCATGCTGATTTCACCGCCGGCGGTATCAAAATCTGTCTTCCAGCCATCCTTCTCTTCGTTGTGACCGATGATGCGGGTCTCCTGATGAAGGACACCCTTGCCTTCGCCTCCGATCTTGTGTGCATGCTTGGGACAGGCTGCAGAGACGATTTTCTGGTGTTCCTCAATCCGCCACATCATTTTGCGCAGGCGCCAGCGGGTTTGGGTTTCTTCGCCTTTATCCACCACTCCGCTAAGAGTCATCTGCACAGGGAAGGTACCGATTGGGTGAACAACGGATGGAAGGACGATACGACCGGTAAGGTTGGTAGGAGGGAAGATACGGATGGAGGACTTGTCGTTGCCGGGGAGGATGGCACGCTTGATGTGCAGAGGCATCTTGTAGGTGAACTCCTCTCCGTTGATACTGTGAGCACGCGCAGAGAGAAAGTATTCGATCTGACCCAACGATCCGTTGCACGAGGCGGGCAGATGGCCGGGGACTAGGTAGCTGAACGGAAACTCGTGGTCACCACTCTTGAGGGCGAGGGGCTCGGTGAGGAAGTTCCAGTGTGTCAGTTCCTCGGTTCGCGAGGCACAGTTGGGGCAGTCTCTAGAAACCGGTTTCTTGGTCGTTTGTCTGCTCATGAGACGCATATCAAAGGTGTCAAGCGTGATCATGCCGGCTAAGTCAGAGATGCTGATCTTCAGGCGTCCGGAGAACAAGGCGCCGGTTGAGTTGGCGGGATTCCCGTAACACACGAGCGGCGGGGATTCAACGATAACATCGAGCTTCGCAGAGGCGTTGGCGCTGGGATCATGAGCGGCACGCTCCTTTGAACGAGCTGAGCGGCCATGGCTCCGTCGCTTTTCTTTGCTGTGATCGCGGTGAGGATGGATCAGATGCTCCATCGCCAACGATAGCCGGCGTTCGGGTGAGCGAGCTCGGTCAGCGGACAGATGGGTGGATGGCTTCTTCGATGCCACAGTGGTGTTCGGGATCTCATTCACGGACGAAGAAGACGAAGTGTTCGAGTGCGCAACGGATGAATGGTGGGATGAGTGATGGGAGAGGGAAGGGCGGACAAAACTGGAAAGTAGACGACCAGGCATGGTGGCGAGTTTCACAGGGTGATGTGGATGCGCTGGGTTGGAACCTTGGTAGCTAAGTATAGTAACAAGTGTCGAGTGCACAGAAGGTGGAATGTCTTGCTCAGGGAGCAATGGATGTCAGGTATTGACGGTCCACGATGCAGTAAGACCAGACTGGCAGTGGCAGACTAGTGTATGTATGTGAAGGGGTCTCGATATCACGGCGCAATTGGGAAGGTTGAGTTGATTGTCAAGTACATAATCTCCTTGCGATTGAAATTGAATATTGTACCTATGAGAAAGAACCTTTGACTACAGTCAAGAGTTCAAGTTTCTTTGAGACGGTGAGGGGTAGAGGTAGCAGATGAAATGTACACGAGTAGTGGAGAGTTTGAATCGTGTTGTGATGGTGGTGGTGGTAGGTAGGTTGTAGTAGTAGTCTATATCTGAGTAACCGAAGAAGAAAATGAAGTAAATCTAGTAGGCTATCAAGCAAAACAGAGGAATGGCAAGAAGAGGTGGGAGAGTAGCTGCCTTTGAATGAAGCAGGACAAGCTCTATGTTTTATTCTTTGCAACCCAGATATACTCTACCCCTCCAAAGGACTCATTTTCCTTTTTTTTTTTTCCTTTTCCTATTGTTGAATTTTTTTTTATTTTTTTTCTCTTCTCCTTTTTTCATTTTTAGCGTGGTGGTTGTTTCTAGGGCGTTCCCACACCATGTAACAGGTACGATTAATTCCCTGGTCTGGCCACCCTGAATGTCTCCATCGCATCGGGCGGCCGATGGAGTTTTGGTGGGGCACGGCAGAAAAAGCGTCATAGTGGACTTTACATTACCATTTCCATACATGACCGTACGGCTGTCTCCGACGGAAAGCGCCAAAAGTCTCCAGGCTTGGTCGCCCTGCCATTGAATTCCCCTACAGGTACAGTACCTGTCCGTTGCACCAATAATTCCCCGAGGGCAACTGCAGTGACTGCACCTGGCAGTGTCTTCCTTCAACCTCCATGTTTTCACACCGCGATTTGTTTGGCCGCCTTTTGACTTTTTTTTCTCTCTACAAAACCATCATAGCTTAGCTAAAGTAACTTGCGTGATGGTTTCGGACGACTGTGGGCACATGCTCATTCTAGAACAACCAGTGGCCAATCAATGATTCTATCTGCAGCTTGTCCTGCGTAATCGATGAAATAATTGCCTTAGTCAGGTGTGGTTGAATTGAGGTTACTCGGAATTGCTTCCCCAGACCTTGAGTATGCTCAAGATCGGTCTCAACTTCCAAAGCTCACAGAGACTGAGGGCAAATAATTCTAGCCCCCCCGTCCAAACATTCTGGATGGCGCGTATCCTGTATTGACTACAATTCCCTGGCAGCATGTGATGAATGCATATCACTCTGCGCTGCGCTATGTACCGGTACGCAGGTTGTTGATGCCAGAGTGATTGAACCTTCTCCTGCATCAAATGACTTGATGTGTTGTTAAGCAATCTATTCTGGAGTGCACGGAATGTCCTTCCTAGAACGATGCTCTCATCAAGGGGTGGTCAGGCGCAATGACTCACACTAGGGCCGGGCTTGAGACTTTAGCAACGAACAGCTTTCTCCGATGTAGATCTTCCAACCCGAATCTCCGTTTGCGCAATTCTGCACGCGCAAGAAACATCATCTTAGCGGGTTACACGCAATCCATGAGATCGGTGGTGATGTGGAATAATGTCAACTGGCTGGAGAATGTTGTCATGTCAATTGTTCCAGAATTGAACCGAGGGTCCAGTATGGAACTGCTGACTCAGGTTCTAGACACCTCCCATCAGGCGTTCTATACTTGGAAGCCAGGAGTGACCACGGTCAGAGACCGGGTCATATCCCCCAATCTGAATTACCAATGGTGGCTTTGAAACCCCACGGGTGAAGGACGTTAGGTCGACTGGAAGTCTGGAAGTACAGTACAGTAGCATCGGGTAAGATCCCGAGGATTGACAACAGAATGACAGATCATTGAGCCAGCCATGTGTGGGATAGTACCGTGAACTAGTACTCCGTATAGATCAACGGCACGGATTATCCGTTCAGCTTGCAGTGGAAGTTACTAGAGCAGTAACATACCTACCTAGTACTTACCTGAGTAGTAGTCCGTAATACCGGATCATCACACCTGACGGGCGCTTCTTTTGCTCATCAAGGAAGGTCAGCTGCCGTCATCGAACCATCACGTGGCGTCACAAATTGATGTGCGAGGCCGAGGGGGCTCAAGGCGGTCTGCAGGTGGTCTGGTTTGTTGTCTCAATCCTCAATACAGGCGGTGACGACCCGTATCAATCGGCTATACCTTACCGTACAGCAGTCCATTGCAACGCTAATTGGAGATCCCTCTGGATCCAAGTTGCCGCTGTTGCACTTTTGCGCCAAAAAACAATGGAAGGGCAGAACCAAGGCCTGAAAAGAAGGTAAGCTAGCCCCATCAGACCCAAGCATTGCGCGCACGGATTAGGAATTTTCTCAAAGGAAAATTCTTTGCGGACTCTCTTCTCCTCGGGAAGAGCTAAATAGAGTACGGAGTACAATAATGATGGATGTGTGTGCTGTGTACGAGTATCCCGTTCACTTCAGTCAAAGCTCCACTTGCCGAGAGAAGGAAGAAAAAGAACAAAAAGGGAAAATTAAAAGGGAAAGAAATTCAAACGGATAAAAAGTCAAAAGGGGAGCACGCCCACCAATCCTTGGTTGATGCCCCTTGTCGCAATTCATCATCCCCTACAAGGTACTTGGGACATGTGGACGGATGTTGTGCTGTTGCGCGCAGTCAATATGGTTCAATTCATTCACTTCTCCCCGTAGCTACCTTTTTGGGACAAGTTTCAAAACAGACAATCGAGTCATCGCTGCAGTTAGTGCGCTACGGAGTACGTACTAGAGAAGACCCTTCTGGACATCAGCTCACTCCGAGGGCGCATGGTTCTTTTTTTTTTCCCCGCACTGCAGTTTAATTCCGGCCTTTGCGGGGGCATTGCATCATCCGGCTATCCTTGCCGGTCAGCGCATTGAACCTCCTGAGTATCTATCTAGGAGGGGTTTTGGGTAGGTGAGTTGAGATTGAAAGCAGTGCTACTGTCTATCACGATTTCACGATATACAGACCAGTACGTAGCAGATAATATGACATGAGCAAAAAGCCCACATCAAAGATATAGTTAAGTTCTAGACGCGGTGCACTGTCCTGTTGGCAGGGGAATTTCACTGTCCCACTGGCGAATGGCCAGCGGCTGCCGCCCTACCCATTACCTAACAGTTTCCTCCTTAGGCTCGCAAGCTCTCCATCATGATGGATCAACTGAGCCAACTTCAGGCTTTTACTGCACCTCAGTACCTTAACTGAGCACTTTCGGCTTTGAACACCCAACTTCAACTGTCTTCTTGATCCGATTGATCGTCCCGATTGACAGAATCTCGGCACATGCTGTCGGTCACTGTTACGGGTGGCCGACCTTGATCACGCCATGAATCCATCCATTCTTCCATTTTACCGACTGCGCTTACTCTGCCACAGCATGTCAAGGCGCTGGAGATGGAGTGAGTAAGTACTATGAGTAAGTAAATGGGCTTGTCTCCGCTCTACCACACCTTAACTCACGCAACTGATAGTATGTGGAGTAGACATATCTCGTATGTCGATTTAAAGTGGCACCTTCTTACCCTATAATAACGACCAACCTCACACGCCCAACTCACTTTACTCGGTGCTAAAGTGTTTGGTATTTGCTTTGATATTCTAATTTGTAAGACCCCTGGCTCTGACTGTGCTTAGGGTATACTCAGAGTCTGCCATTCAGCCACTTAACCGGCCGGTAGTCGGTGGTAACAACCCGGCGCATCAATTACCTTCTCTGGAGTAGTTGGCCTAACACTGCGCATACCTCTGGAACTCCTGTTCCGAGCCTCGCTTCCCGCGGGGCCAGGCGTGACAATGTCTCTTTTGGGGGGGGGGGCGGAATTCGCCGCCCCTTCGAGCTTTTAGTCCTGGTACTCCGTACCTGATTTAGCATCGAACTTTCAGACAGCTATTGCTCAATACATGCATCGAATGCAGCGATTTCTCCGGAGTACGGAGTTCTGAATCAAGCACGCAACTTCAAGCTTGTTTTTAGTTTCAGCACGCCCGCTTACCTTTCGCCCCTGTGAAGCATTCGCGAGTCGTGCAAGAGCTTGGGCCCCATTTCTTTGCAGAATCATAGACGACTACAAGGCACGTTCATCATTTAAGAAGGCATGTTCGTTCATGCTCCCCTTCCATTGGGCGGTTCAACGGCAAACCCCTCCAAGCGCAACAGGCGTGAGTGGTTTTACTCGTACTTAGCCGGGCGCCGGACTGCGTGCAATTTTCTCTAGCCGGATCGCTGCCGGTCGGTCGCCTTCGAGTCCACTTCATCGTGATGACTCTTAACACTAGCACTGCTTAGCGCCTCAGACGACTAGAAAAATTTTCTTGCCGGTCTCCATTCTCTTCCAAGGCCCTCAGCGGACCGCCGGCGCCAACCATTGGGGCTCTCTTATTTTCAGGTTAGACCACCCGAGAAGATCAAAGGACATCGGCGACTGCCGCGGCGGACAATGAATGCTACCCTTTCCCAAATTCCCACTCGGACCTCTTCTGTCTCCAATCGTTTCCCCGGGAGGGTTCTCAAATTCTGAATTGAGGAGGGTGGGAGGCGCGGAAGATCCATGGAAACCTGTCCGCGGAATTGCGGTGCAACTCTGTGGTAACTGCGGTTCAGGGCTGCCACCAGCGTGGACCGCTGTCCGGGGGGCAATTCTCACAGCCACTTGAGTTTTACGGCCCTGAACATTATTGCAGCCGGTGTGACTAACTTAAGTTAACGGCATTATAGGCGCGGATCTTATGATCTCGGTCATGATTGAAGGCCATGGTCATGAAACATACGCCCTGTTTGTTGTATGCGTAGCTACGTAGTGCCAATAGAGGACCCTGCAGGTGAAGAATTACTGCAGAGTCTTAGCGCCCCTTTGAGGGATTTGCAACATTGACGCGTTGCCGGTCCACCAGAGAGTGTGACTACTTTGACCGCCGACAATTCGTATGCGACGGGGCTAACCCTGCAGGCACGTCTCTGACACAGGTTCTAGAATCGACACTCCGGAGCAGTACCCAAGGCTCTGTGTCTATGGTAGGGTCTACCATACCGTATGAATAAGATGATGGTTTGATCAGTCATCGCAGCTCTCATGTATATGGCTGTCTACTTGATATGGATCTTGGAACCAGGACTTTGGCGCGGTTGGCTTGATTCAGTGCAACGGTAGGTCGACGAGCTAGAAACAGGGGTCTTCAAACTGTAGTCGTCCTAATAACATCAGTCAGCCCTATCGTATCCGCTATCAAATGTCGATTGTGCACATCCCTCCACAGATCAGCTGGTATTGACCTTCTCATAAGTTGTTGAAATCCAGCTCGATAAATGGCACCTGCTTTCCATGTTCATGAGAGCTTATGGCATCATAGTTCGTTGCTTCGAGTATACTTTTCTCCAAACATCTTAGGTCATTGTGGGTTACGGCTTGGCTGCCATATGATATATAGTAATTCTGATATTTCGAAGACACTCCATTACCAGGTATTGGTCAAGGCAAATAAGGTAAATCTAACAAACTACAGACGTTAAGAAGCCAGCGAAAATCTCCGACATGGTCTCTACGATTGAATTGGTGTACCTTCAGCATAAATGCTGTCGTGGCTGTCGAGAATGTCACGTGCCGTAGCTCCATGAAGCTCCGATGATCGACGATTGAACTTCCCGACACTCGAGAGATCCCCTATTCCTACACTACATCCTTGTATCATATGTGCGCAACAACTCCCGCGGTGATGAACGCACCTTTGTTTCAGTGTCATCTCTACTTATCAATTTGAACCCAGGCCCCAGGTTTCGTTTGCACAAGCCTCAATTGCGTTGAATTGTGAGGTGACGTCTGGATGTCGGGACACCGTGAGCACCTCAGAACCGATCCCATTCGCTTATCGACCACCCAATAGTCGCAGCGCCACACCACTTGCAGCGTTGTCAACTCATTACCTAGAAGACGCTCTGGATCGTTCTATCATCACATATCCCACCATGAATACCTCATCCTTGATCACGATCGGTCTCGCGATCTCGTTCGTGTTCATGTTCTGGACCCTGTCTTCGACCACGTCGTCGCCATTTGCTGGGGCCTTCCCTCGCATCTACAACAAACGGATCTGCTTACTGATTGCTCATCCCGATGATGAAGCCATGTTCTTTGCGCCTACCGTCCTGGCCCTCACCAAGCCGGAGTACGGCAATCATCTCAAGATTCTCTGTCTTAGTACCGGTACGCCCCCCCCTCCCCCCGGGTAGACTCCTCTCATCAACAAAAAGCAAGCCACTAACCCGTCAACCTGCCGTGCAATCTAGGCGACGCAGACGGGCTCGGACACATCCGCAAGAAAGAACTCGTGAAGAGCGCTCTACAACTCGGCCTGCGCAGCGAATCGGACGTCTACGTCGTGGACGACCCCACTCGATTCCCCGACAGCATGAGCGCGCACTGGACGGAGAACGACGTCGCCTCGCTCCTTGCGTCGGCGTTCGCGCCGGAACCGTCGAAGAAGTCAGGAGGCGCGGCCCCGACCGCGACCATCGACGTGCTCGTAACGTTCGACCAGGGCGGCATCAGCAATCACCCGAACCATCGATCCCTGTACCACGGGGCTCTGCACTTCCTCCGCGCGCTGGTCAAGGGCAAGTCCGGGTACAGTTGCCCGGTCACCCTCTACACGCTGACGACGACCAACCTCGTGCGCAAGTACGCCGGCGTGCTCGATGCGCCCTTCACCATGGTCCGGGGCGCCTTGAGCTCGATCATGTCGGGCTCCGGGGCCCGCGGCTCCAGGGATCAGCTCCCTTCTCGGCTTCTGTTCGTGAGCTCCGTCAATGAGTGGTTGACGGCCCAGTCCGCTATGGTCAAGGCCCATCAGAGTCAGATGGTGTGGTTCCGTTGGGGTTGGATTACGATCGGACGCTATATGGCGGTAAATGATCTACGGCGAGAGGAGATCTGAGCGACAGCTCGAAATTTATATACTGGGACGTCTGGGGATGCGGGCCGTATAGATATTTCGATCCACACAAGCCTAATACTCGCCAGGCCATAAAAGTTCTGGAGTAGTGGTCCGTCATCAATATCGATGTTTTAGGTATGACGCACCCGTGGTACGTGAAGACTTTGTCGGTAGTCTTTTCTTTCACGAACTAGGCTAAGGTGATCTTAAGCAGGAAACAACTCGTAACGTGTCACTATGGACCGGGTAGTCTGAAGAACGCTCAAATCACATGCACCGTGAATTATCATACAGCCCAGACCAGTACGAAAAGGACTAGGTTGCTGAAGATTAACGCTAGGAAACGCGTCTGAAGCCTAGAAAGAAAGAGCTTCTAAGCAGGCCCGATTTTCAGACAAGGCGGGGAGTTCGCTGTAGGACTCAGTGAGAAGTTCTGCATAGCACTGTGTTTCAATTGCGGCTCAACATGAATAGTTCGTCTTCTGCGGGACGATACTTCTCCAGAACCGGCTCGAATAGTCGCTTAAGGGATGCAGACGTTGGCTCGATATCTGGCCCGAGACGCAAAAGAGCTTCCCAGAAGAACTCGTCGTCAAGATAATTGTCTTCGTCACCCGGCTCGACATCATTATAGGGTGTGGGTCGCCGAATCGGTATTCGCTTTCCGCTGTAACGGTACCGGCTACCCCAGCGAACTTTTCCATCGAAATGCACTACTCCTCCACGAGTGTTCAAGTGGAAATCCTCCGGGAGGAAGTCGCGCCACTCTTCCAGCGCTACGGGAAACAGTGACCTAAACCATGCAGGGTTGTCTCGACCCGTCCACAGCTTGTTGATCAGCATGTTTCTTGCGAGCTTTCTCACCAGCTCAGTCTGTTGGGCTGTGTGCAGTCTGAGGATATCATAGGTGTGTATTGCGTTGGCTAAGTCTCGCGACTGCCAACCTGCGCGACTTTTATGTAGCCTGCGCCGCTTCATAAACGCCGCGATAGCTGCCCTCGCCTCCCATCTCCCTTGACGTGTCTCCATCAGGGTCTCATATGAAGCATACATTTGTGGCATGTAGTTCTTGAGAATACGACTGTCCCACGCTAACTTGGCGATTTTGAGGCGCGCCTCAATTGTGGGGCTCACGTTGTATGGATCTGTGGTCATTGTATCGAACAGTTGAGTCACGAAACGTGGCTTTACCCTCGTGTGCGCCTGTTCCTCGGCGTCGGGGCCGAATTTGCGACGTGACAGGACAAACGTCCACTCGAACAGTTCAAGCCAAACCTTCTCGGGAATGGGTATATTGTAACGGGCAGCGATGAATTCCACTAGATGAAGTGCAGCTTGAATTTCGTTATTTGTGCCGAAGGCGTGAGCTACCGCGAACAGAAGTCGACCTGTGGGATGAAGGGATGAAGCAGGGTCGGTGTGGTAGATATCGGATGCTCCCGACTGGTCGCTTGCCGTCAACAGTTCGTCGACATCTATGTTCCAGGCGGCTTTCAGAACAGCCTTGATCCCCGGAACCCAGCCTGTGCGACAGGATGCAAGCATCATGTTGACAAAGGTGGTCTCATCCGGCGGGACAGATTTGGCCATCATCTCCGCGAATATCACTCGTACCGACTTGAGCACGCTGCGTGCTGCGGTGCCGTATCCCGACCAGCCTGAATCGATGGGCGCATTTTTTCGCATCTTATATGAGAAACGGGTCACTCTCAGCCGATATTTTCTCATCCCGGTAAACGTCCCGTCCCAGATCAAGGCCTCCATGAGATGATTATAACACTGGGTATCTGGCTCTACATTACAATCTTGCATGGCCTGCCATGCGCTGCGTGCCATCTGAGCATCGCCCATGGCGGCTGCGCAAGCGAGCAAGTGGGTGAACTCCGCCAGGCCTGCGGAAACCCTGAGACGAATTATTTGTGCGAGTTTGCTGGCGAATTCGTCGAAGATTTCCTGCAATGGCTTGATATCCATGCTCCGTTCCGCGGTTGGATGGAGCGCTCGGATAATCTCTCGATGGGGCTCGACGAAGTATGCTGGGGAGAGAAGCAGGAAGGCCTCGACGAAGGTGGTTTCTGGCATAGCTCCTACCAGGCTGCTGAATCGAGGGTCAGTGAGCGCATTCATCACCAAGTCCGGTTGGCCGCTTTGAAGAATCGAGATGAACTCCGTTTGCAAGGTGTCTCGTAGTGGATCATCGCGTTGTTTCTCTGGGGGACTGTCGATGTCCAGCAAATCCGTCGAACTCTTTGTCCCATGGTGGCGGTAGTCGTACTTGTCCAAGCAGTTTTCCTTGACAATTGACTTTAATTTCCTTTTGGTCGGCGGCCTAGTCCAGACTCTCACCGATCTCGACGGGCACGTAGGATTCCGAAGTATGAGAAGTGGAGACGGATAGCGAAGCTTGGTTGGCCGGGAAGGACGATAAGAGGACAAGACCCCCAAGCGAGTGCAAGACAGACGATCACTTGGTTGTAGAAATCGCAACATCGCGCTTGAAAACTGTCAAGAAAGGAGAATGGCCGAGATAAAACATGGGGTCAGATTCTGGGGAAAGAAATGAGAAGAGGGGGTGGCAGGTCAGCTAATATTCATAATTCATTCATTCATTCAACTGTTGCGGAGTAAACTGAGGAGTCGGCGGTTGTTGTGGTCTTGGCGGGAAGCAAAGAATCCCTGCCAGTCTCTTTCTTTCAAACATCCATCCATCCACTCAACGATCATTCATGTTCCCGCGGGTGGCACTTTGACAGCGAGTCGCACAGTCGCCCAATCCATCTCTCACTCCCCCCCCCCTGCTGCAGCTCTTTCATTGATTGCTTGAATCTTGACTGGACGCCTCCCGACCTTTAGCTTGCGTTCACTCATTTCGTCTCTCCCTCTCCGCTCCCCTCCCCTCTTTCGCAATCCTCCCGCCCCCAATTCCTCCTCCACCTCCTCCCTCGAGATGGCCGACACTGAGGATGCGGGCACTTCGTCGGTGTCCGAACCCCTCGACCTGGTGCGCCTGTCGCTCGATGAGATTGTCTTTGTGAAATTGCGCGGTGACCGTGAGCTCAAGGGCCGTCTCCATGTAGGTCCTCCCCGTATTGTGCTTAGCAAGGTCAATTCGAGGCGACTAATTTGTATCAATTCCGCGCTTGCGATAGGCCTACGATAGCCACTGCAACCTAGTCCTGGGTGATGTGGAGGAAACCATCTACGTGGTCGAGGAAGACGAGAACGAACAAGAGACGATCCGAGTACGTCCGCCTCCTACTGCCTGCAGGGCCCGACACGGTGTCTAGCTGCTGGCCATATTGTTGCGATCGCAGGCTAACTCATTTTCGCATCTCTTCTGTCTAGACGATCAAGAAGCAGGAGGAAATGCTTTTCGTTCGAGGTGCGTTCCACACATATACACACACACTCTCTCCCCGATGACGTCGGCTACACAGTTTTTGCGCGCGCCGTTTCGACTAACGTTCCTGCTCATAGGCGATTCGGTTGTTCTGATCTCCCCTCAAGCATGATGAGATGAATTTTCCGAGCAAAGACAAAAGGACCAATGGATCTGATCGGAGGGCTTGGAATGCCATGCAGCGTATACATCTTCTCGCTGCTACCCCATGTCGGCCACGGATCAGTATGAGACCACGAACTACCAGGCGATGCTACAGGGTTCCCAGACGTATAACTCTAATTGCAAGCAATGAACTATACATTTATATTCTGGGCAGATGGTAGAGGTGGGAAAAGGTCGTGCTTCAGATCAGGACAGGGCAGGATGGGATGAAGAGCATCATGCCATGCAGCACTGCAGCAGCAGCAGCCGCCACTATTAAGGAGGACAAGTTCTGGCATCTGCCCTGGCATGCAACTTTAAGTTTTAGTATGTGGTAATTGTGCTGAATGCAAAAGAATCCAAATGTACACATGCACCCGTCAGCTGGAATGATTCTAATGATTTCTTCTCTATTCTTATGACTCGACTGCAGTCAGGTATGAGTAGTAGTTAGTGATGAGAGCGGGGGATGAGTCAAGACAGCCGCACGAGGCGGGCGGCGCGATGACTCGCACTCCGTCGGTGGCCGATTATCGATAAAGCTTTCCCCGGGCCTCCCGTCCATCTCCATCACCCTCTTTCCCCTTCACCTCTCTCGATCTACCTAGCTTCTATCAAACACCCTATTCTTCCTATTGTGTCCTCTTCCCATCGGTCATCCTTATCATTCACTCTCGATAACTACTGGCCCAGTCCTTCGACGCTCTTCCACCCAGCTATTCAGACGGGAATTATGATCACCCGAATAGGTGTTTGAGTGCGCCAGAGGCGAACCTTGTCCGTTCCATCCGACCGAAACAACAATTCGCATTTTAGCTACAGATAGACACACACGTATTTGATTCATTCTTCCCAATATACCTTTCTTATCTTTATTTCATTCCAGCGACGAACAAGAAAAAGGGAAAACCTACAACCATGCCACCGACGGGACCGAAACTCACCCTGGAGGAGCGACGGAGAGGCGAAATCGTGCGTTGTTTGTGCAGTTTCCGCGCAATTCCCCAGCCCCCTGCTTTTTCGTCTGTCTCACACTAAACCCCGTCTCATGCGCAGGCGCTCAGCGAGTTCGCCGAATACGCCGAGAAGCAGCAGGCCCAGCGCTCGGCCCCGCCTGTGCCCAGCGACAGTGGATATGAGACGGCCAGCGTCTCTCGCATCCACGAGGATCACGCCGAGCTGGACATCCTCGACCAGCTGGCATTGAGCGACACGCCCAAGACCGTCAAGCTGAAGGAGGTCCTTCTCGGCACCGGCGAGCAGCCCGACGACGACCTGCAGGTGCTGGCGAGCCTGCTGCAGTCCCGGATCGACGAGGGCCACGGCGAGACGCTTTTCGACCTGGGCCTCGAGGACGGCGGCGAGTCGATGCAGTTCGACCTGGCGCAGTGGCACACGGCCATCCGGCGCCTGCGCGAGGCCGCGGACACGCTCCCCGCGCACTGCCGGGTCTTGG